ACTGCTTGACGGCGAGTATTATCATAAGCGCGAATCCCTTGAGTGGAGGGAGTCAATTCTTCATTCTTTATGCCCAACTTCTTTGCAGTACGGAGTGGGCACACATTGATTGCAGAGCCATTATCAACCAGGCTGATAGGAACATTCATCTGCCTACACACCACAGTGAGGTGTAAGGCCTTATTATGTTGATCCTCTTCCGGGGGCAGATCCTTATCAGAAAACGAAATCACATTGCTAGTACTTGGAAACCCAGTAGTGAGAAAGTTGACCAGTCCTTGAGGAGTCATGTCATCATCAACTCCTATCTTCACCAGAGCATTCATCACAGCCTTTTGATGCTCGTGGGAAGTGGCCAAAAGCTTCCATACATTCATCTTCACCTTGGTCTTTTGCAGTTGTTTGACCACATCGCTGTTCACAGGATCGATGGGATCAACTATCGGATGTGATTGTGGTGGAGGTGGATTAGGTTGTTGCAACCGTCCACTTCTGGTGAGAACCTTGACCTCAAAGTCCCCCCAAACGTCTTCACTAGTTCCAAGAGATGAACAGGCTATATCCTTGAGATAGACGTCTTCATCATCACTATCCCAAATTCCATTCACTTCTTCAGTACTTGAGATAAATACAACTTCCGGCAGAGGTTCATTCACAGGTTGAATGAGTATCGACGGGTCAAAGGAGACTTCATCTCCCATGATAGCCAAAGCATCAGAAAGAGGACCTGTTTGAATGTTAGGCTTCTTGCCCCCTGGAGGGACAGGAAGTTGATTAGCATCGATCAGGTCTTGGATTGCATCCTTCAGCCTCCAACACTTCTCAGTATTATGACCCTTGCCTTGATGAAAATTGCAACAAGCATTGGGGTCATAGCTAGCAGTCCTATTCTCTGGCCGAGGTTCTGGAAATGGTCCGATTGGCATAATCAGTCCTTGACCATGCAAACGGTCATAAGCAGCATCATAAGTCATTCCCAAAGGCATCTAAACCCTCCTTTTCCTTTGAAATCTTTGGGGAGGAGCATTAAGGTCAGCACATCATTAATATTGATATTATTGGTAGCATTATTGGGCTTAGAAGACGAAGAAGAAGGAGTGTCATTCTTCTTGCTTTTCCAAGTGATGTTGCTATTGTTGCTACCAACAGACTTCATCAGTTCATCTTCGATATTGATTCCAATATCGTATACAGCTTCAAAGGTACTCAGAGGCAGAAACTTCAAGTGTTGCTTGTACTTATGAGTCAGATTGGCAATGAACAAGCGAACCATTTCTTTCTCCTTGGGGGGATCCACCAGGAGCGCAGTTGTTTCCCTCCACCTGCTTAAGTAAGTGGTGAAGCCTTCATTCTCTTTCTGTTTGAGAATGGAGAGTTCACGTTCAGAAGTCTTGGCTTGGATGTTACACTTGTAACGATTCATAAAGCTTCCAGCAACATCCTCCCAGGTCGCGACATGCTTGGATTCCAAAGAATAGAACCACGGTTGACAGGCATGCTCTAAGGAAAGAGGGAACACCGTAGGGAAGAGTGTCACATCTACTCCCTTAAGAGCCATAGTTGCAGAAAAAGCCTTCAAGTGGAAAAGAGGATTATCAGTAGGCTTGAATTTGGGGATGTCAGCAGTGGAAAACTTCTCAGGAAGCTTCTCTCTTATGGACGAAGAAGTGACAGGTTGTTCCACATAAGTGAACTCTTCAGAAATCTTTCTCATCTGTTCCTTAATCTTGTCCATTGCGGCAGTAGTGACATTGTTTTGATTGTCTTGTTCTACAGTGCTGACTCTAGTGGTGAGTGTCTGCATCATGTCAGACAATATTTCAATTGTCCTGTTGAGGTTCTCAATGTCTTCTTTAGTGGCCATTGGTTGAAAGTAGACTGGAGATGAATCTTGTGGAGATGATTGAGGTAGTTTCCTTGTACGCCTCTTTGGTATAATAGGTTGTTGAGGTATGGACTCTAACCGTAACAATCTACCCCCGCTTCTTGACCAAGTGCTGTGACACCAAAACAAACACACCTTTAATGACCAAACTTAACCTTGACCCATCCGAAAAAAACTTTTTTTTTTATTAAACATCTATAATTTTGAAACTCTACTTATCATTATTTTTTTAAAAAAAAAAAATACATGGGAGGATACCATCCGACTTACTCCGAAAAAACGACACAAAAACGAGACTTCCCCAAAATACGGTAAAAAAAATGGCGCACGACTAAAAAAATGTGTGTGAACACGATATGTGAGTGATTAAGTGAGGTTATAGACGCGTGTTTTAACTATATAGCTAGACACGACACAAAACTGGACACAGCATTTGCACAAAAATCGAAAAAAGGACTGACAAGACACTTTCCTGGGCACTGTGTCACGGTACAGATTGTCGTGACACGGTGCAGTCTACCGTCAGACGGCAGACAGCCCCGTGTCACGACACTGTTCACCGTGGCACGGCAGAAAATGTCGTGACACGGTGTGCAGTTCCAGGTCAGTTTTGTGATTTTTCCAGATTTTAACCGATCTTAGGTCCGTGCTAATTACTATGTGAGAATAAAAACCCTCGGTCATGGGTTAAAAAAAAGAGCAAGCACATGAAGGTTAGCACCAAACAGCCACATAGCATTTAGGCACGATGATGTAAAAAAAGTTTGCAACCTAGAGTCAAGATCTATGTTCAACTATTGGTCAACCTTTGGGTGTCAAAAGGGTACCATGGTTAAGAGTTTGGACGCGTTAGCAAGGAAGCCTCCCTTGAGGGTGTATGCCAACGGGCGGCTCCGCGAGTTCGTGATGAAATCAAACTCGACTCCATGGTTTGGGTGGATTTAATAACTCGGATGAACCCTTATTGCCACAAGAGTTTTTGGGTTGATAGAGCTTAAATCCCCCGGGGCTAAGACGCATGTAGAACACATACGTTTTTTCAAAAAAATCGAAGGAAGTCGACTGTGAGGAAAGAAAATAAACCACCGGACTGATTTTAGGACTGCCGTGACACAGAAAAAATTCCCGTGTCACGGTACTGTGCACTGACAGACGGTGCACTGTACCGTGACACGGCAGATTTTTCCGTGGCACGACAGTCAGAAAATCTGACTGGTTCCCTGTTTTCCTTCGCGCGCAACCAAGTTATCCAATTTTTCCTACGGGACATACCCGAATGCGACGTTAAAACGTCTATGCAGATGTAAAAATGCCAAATTAATCACAGGAATATTTTTTCAAGAATCTTTCAAGTCTCATCCACTCATCTTAATTAAATACCGATCACTCAAATCGATAAATAATTAAGAATCCTCCCCAGTGGAGTCGCCAAATTGTAAGCGTCGCTCGAAGTGCGCCTACGTAAAAAGCATGTTGTGAATATGCTTGGCACTCATAGGAAGTGGGAATTGGCATAATACGATTAGGGACAAATAAAGTAGGGAGCCGCCAACAAGTTTTTAAGGAACTTGTAAACCGTTCATGGATCATAAAAGGCAACCGCGATAAGGGACAACGAAGGCAACAACGATTGACCCGTGAAGGTTACACCCCATTCATAATCCATGAGATTACTAACTCCATATGGTTCGGAACCACGAAAGGAGGATCGGGGATGATGGTACGAAGTGAGTCATGGAGTCACATTCGCCCGTATTGGCCTCTACTCGATTCTTATATTGAAAAGCATTCTTGTGATCTCAAAGGCATACAAACAATAATTCAATTCGCTCCAAACTATTACTTAACTAAATTGGTTTAATATTAATGCACACATAATTCTAAAATATTGGTGATCACTTCAATTAATAACAAGATTAAAAGGGATCCTAAACCGGTTGTCCAAATTATCTTATTAGGCGTGATTTTCAATTACATATTCCCTTTAAACATGCAATATAGTGATCATAAAAATAATAGAATAACATTAATATTAAAACCAATTTAATCACAATTCCAATAACATAAAATCGTTAGAAAAATAATAAAAACAAAAGGAGCATAATCCTTACTTTGATTCTGTTTGTTTGCAAATACAAAATAATAAACGAGTTAGTAACTTCAAGGAAATAATAAAGTAATAATTAAATTAAATTAAATAAAGTATAGTTAAGTTTGGGGCCAAACCCTTAAACAATTCTACCTTTCACGCCTAGGCTTAAGGATGGAACCACGAGTGAAGTATGGACTCCTTTGAGTACTTGAAGAAGGAATTTTGAAGTAGAAAAGGGTAGGCTAGTGTTTAGGCTAAAGCATAGAAGAGAGAAAATAAAATCAGAGAATTACTCAGTGCCCCGTTCATCAGAAATGAGGGGGGTATTTATAGGGAAAATGCGCTAAGGGAGCACACGAAACCCTAAAATGATAAAAACCCTAAAAAAGTATCCCGTGACATGGTCAAACTGTACTGTGACACGAGAAGCTCCACCGTCAGACGACACTCTTTCCCGTGACACGGTACACTTTTGGCGTGACGCGGGAAATTTTCAGAAAACGGGATAGAAAACGCGTCAAGGGTTTACGCGGAAAAGACATGGAATGTCCCGTGTCACGGCAGACCTCCCGTGTCACGGGAAATCCCACCGTCAGACGGGAAGGATTCCTGTGACACGATAAGTACCTGCCGTGGCGCGGGAAATTCCTGCCTGTTTTTCCGTCGAAATACATTTTTAACCCTAATTTCCTTCGGCATTTTAAGTGCCGATTGATAATTTCGGGCCTTTTCTGACTTTTTATTATTCGGGCTAAAATAAGAAAATAATTAAATAAAAATAAATAAAGGGTTTGGGCCAAAAATAAATAATAAAACAATAAAATAAAAAAGGTTTGGGCTAGAATTAATTAATAAGTTTGGGCTGAAATTAAAACTATGCTTTTACTAAACATCAAGACTAATTCATGGACTGTTCAAAATTATGAATTTAATAAAATACGATTTTTTAAGCACTCTCAGGATTAAATACTAAACCCGACCAATAGTGGCGGTGAAAGGTTGTTCATCATCAGGTTTGGTTTTGGGGAGACATTTTTAGGTGTCTACAACTACATATTTCATAATACATAATATGATTATAAAGAGATATTTAAGATTAATCATGTGCTATTTCAAACATCCTTATAAATGTGATGGAGTCTAAAAGAACTTATAAAATCTAAGGACAATAAGGGGAAAAAAAAAACAGTACCTTGAAATCAAAATTAAATTAATTTTAATTGTCAGGTAAAAATTTTATAAAAGATATAATTATTATCTCCAAGTAAATGGTCTATGACATCATTTTTGAAATAGATTTTAGCATGTACCTTTGTTTAAAAATTCTCGCAATAATTCTTCCTTCATTGCATCCATTGCACGTTGCATATCAAGCTTTTGTTGTTCTAGTTGCCTTGATGTTGCTTCAACTGTCTCTTGTAGCTGTTTTTTTTGTTTGTTCTTGAGTCTCTTCTAACTCTTTTATCCTTTCATCTTGCTCTTGAATCTTCTTTTGCTGCTCAAGGTGTTTTCTAGTTCCCTTACTATAACCACGTAAGGCTGTACCTTTCCCACGAAAGTAACCAGATCTGGGTTTCAAAACATCCAAAAGAATCTCCTCTTGAGTCATCGACTCCCCATGAGTAGCAACTACAACTTTTAATTGGTCCTAAAATGTGCATCAATTGTTGAAGTAAATATAATTATTAATAAGATTTGTTGTTGGTTTCAAGAATGGTATCATAAAAACAATATATTTGTAGCAAGTACCAACTAATACATGCTGTAAATAACTCTTTTAAATTGCACTTACATAAATTTCCTTAGAGCGAGAATCATCAGCCCACTGAAGTTGTCCTTCCTTATTTTTTGTTGTGTGCTCGAAAAGCCAAATCACATCAGCTGATGGTTTTACACCATTGTTTTCACAAGTCTAAAACAAAAATACTTCAGTTTAACCAAGATTTGGGATTAAGTAAATAAAGTCGTATATTATTAGTGGTCAGGTTAAATATTTACCAATACATGTTCAGCTTCTGCAAATGAATTGTTGCCAGTAGTGTGCTTAGTTCTTTTCACAGAAAGACGATTTCTTGAATTTCTTTCACTCATTGCCTACATGTTCATTACAATTAAGATGAAGCGACAAAATAATATAAATTTTATTTACATGACATAGTATAGTTTTTACCTTAACAGGTTCAGAGCTAAATCGTTCCACACAATGTTTCCATTGATTTTGAGGTAAATCTGGTGGAGGATTTTTTAAGCGCTCCTCATCATTTTGTCCACAACCTCCATTCTTATAATAGTTGTGCAATCGAGATTTCCATAACCTATAAAGACGTTGCATAGTTTCGATGGCAAAAGCTTGCATCTTAATGTAGGAACTACCTTCTTTAACTTGAAACTTTTCCTACAAAAATATAAACTAATCATAAGAAATGAAATAATAAGACAAGGTCTTTGTTCATACATAACATGGTTCAATAAAGAACAAAATACCTCAATTTCCTTCCACATCACATCACCAGCTAGTCCAAAAGCTTCTTTCCAACTCTTCACATTCAATGGAGCCCTTGTCCTCACGACACGACCACACTCATTCAAAAACAATGGGCATTTTCACCGATAGCCCGGTCAATGTCATCTGGAATGTACACTTGTAATTTGGATTTTTTCCCTTTGATTTTCATATCTACTACATAGCTTTTGTACTTTCCCCTTTCGCCTCTTTGCTTCACCTTGCTTGTCGCTATTACCATGTTTTGCAATTCAAATCACATGTTCCACTCAAAATATTTGGTCAGATTTACATGAATGTCAGATTACCGTATTTTCAAGTTTACTTTTCGTTTATACAGGTTGATTTTTATCAAAAACTTTACAACGTAAATATTATTTGTAGCTAGTAAGAAAGCTAAAAAAGAGAAAACTTTCTCACAATAATATGTTTATTTTACCTTCGCCATCTCGTGTAGTTTCTCCATTAACAACTGAGTGTATCGAACCATTATTCCCTACTTGCCAACGATTAGAATTTTCACCAAATCCTCTATTTTCTTCGTCCCTTCTAATAGGTGGATCCAGAGCATTTGTTGCTTCCAAAGTCATGTTCATCCTTCCTACTAAATTGGTCTTTCTTTTCCTTTTGCTTGTCGTACCAGCTTTATTTATAAAATAAAGTTATTAAAAGACATGAAAACATAATAGCACAGTATAGCAACAATTTTTTAATTATACCTCGAACATGTGGTGAAATACACCCCTCTGACTCATTTTGAATTTGATTTTCATTGGAAATCATGTTATCATCATGTGTTTGACAATGCTCTAAATGATTCAAGGATCCCAAGGCATTTTGGTTAGGTAAGTCACAATTCCCCATACTTTGAATTTGATTTGAAGAGTTCATTGACCTTCTTGGTACATTATAATTGCCACCATTTTGTACCAAATTTGAGGATCTCACATGTTCTCCTACCACATTTGAGTAAAGATTACTTCCTGTTTAATTTATAATCAATGTAATTAGAATAATGAAAAAATAAACAATGAAGAAAATAATGCATCAAACCTAATGATAATACAATTTCAAAGTAAACCATTTACCTTTTCCATCTTGTTTTCGATTACACACATTTTTTCCACCACCTCTCCCAACCATTCTTTATAATTTCCTATTTTTGCATAAACACGTAATAACATTAGTTTAGAATACATTCTATACAAAACTCCATCCAATAACTAATAGAAATCTGTAAACTTATAGTGGTATACACATGACGTAAGTATAATATTAACGTATATACGACAAAAAAGCAAATTTCATACACTGAAAAAAAAAAGAGAGAAAGATAACATATTCAATTTTACTCTTATGATGACTTCGAACTAAACTCTTCCTCTTCACTTGTATCTTCTAAAACTTCAATATCACCATCATTGATAAAGTCATCATCTTTACCAATTTCCTCAATCACTTTTCTAACTAAATTTAGAACACTAGGTTCTCTCTCAACCACAAAAGTATTTGTTGCTAATGAATTTATAAGAAACCTATCATTCCCAGTCCTGAAGCTTTGGCATTCAACTTGATTTACATCAACCTGCTGATATGCGTCCACATCTACACCACCTTGGTCATTCTTATCATTGTTTGGCATATCATAAAGATCTCTGGGTTGGGTTTTCGATAACAAACTGCCAATCCTCATTTTTCGGATCTTGTACGTAGAATACTTGTTCAACTTGTGATTCTAAAACGTACACTTCTTTTGTTTTCAAAGAACCCCTTTTATTTACACTTATCAGTCCATGATCATCCACTTTGTATCCTTTTCCAAGGTGTTGTACATCAAACCATGCACATTTAAAAACAAACGTACGATTCCCACCCAGATACGAAACCTCAAAGATGTCTTTTAACACACCATAATATTTTTTGTCTGAAATATCATCTCCACGTACCATAACTCCACTATTTTGAGTTTTCCTATTCTCACACCTATCATGTGTATGAAACCGAAAACCGTTAACTATATAAGCAGCATAGCGCCTCACAACTCTAGAAGGAAAACAAACTAAATTATATATGTCTTCATCAATGTTCCCTTCTTCATAGAGTTTACGCACCTATTTGAAAAAAAAATAAGAATACCAGGTTAAAAATTATCATGCATTAGATATGAAAAATTAATTATATTCTCTATGAATGAACTCTTACACGATCATGAATCCAAGTTGCAAATTGCATCTTGTGTCTTCGTTCCACATTTCTTGGATTTTCTCTCTCCAACATTAATTTGTGTTCGCTGGAAAAAATATATAATATAATGTAAATAATCAAATATAAAAATTTACAGATTAAAATGACTATTTTCAACACTTAATTAACAAAATCAATAAAGCTCATCGCAGTTTAGTAGATTGTACAAATGGATTTGATCACATTCTTCAAAGCTAAGATGTCGCGGTGCCCCTTCTCCGAGTGCATGACCAAGGGGTCTGAAAATATCTAACTTGTTTCTCAAAGTAACATCATTCAAAGTGTCATCATCATTTCTCCCTTTCCTATTGAATTTAGTGTCAATATCACTCATATATCTTGAGCAAAATGTTAGACACTCGTCTACAAGATAGCCTTCTGCAATGCAGCCCTCTGGATGTGCTCTGTTTCGAATGTACTTCTTTAAAGTTCCAAGATATCTGCAATTATAATTACAAATGAAAATTGAGTCTATATATAGAAAGAAATAAATTTCTAAAAAATCAAATAGATGTCCTACCTTTCAACTGGGTACATCCATCGATACCGGACAGGCCCTCCGATCTTTGCTCAGCAGCTAAGTGAACCACCAAATGCACCATCACATCAAAAAAAGCAGGAGGGAAAATCATCTCGAGCTTGCACAATGTGTAAGGAATTTGTGCTTCGAGGGTGTCCAGTTCCTTTATTGTTATATTTTTTGAGCAAAGGTTTCGAAAAAAAGAGCTAAGCTCAACTAAAGGCTCATAAACTTCCTTTGGCAGGAATCCACGAGTTACAAGAGGAAGAAGTTGCTTAATAAAAACATGATGGTCATGACTCTTCATGCCAGATATTTTCTTTCCATTGTCCCTGACACAACGTGAGATATTTGATAAGAAACCATCAGGTGACTTAATTCCAGCAAACATCTCACAGATTGTTGCTTTCGCAGTTGAATTTAGTGTGTAGGATGCTACTGGAACTCGTACTTTATCTCCATCCAAACTAAGGTGGAGCTCATCTCGAATACCCATTTTCATCAAATCAATTCGAGCCTTTACCGTGTCTTTTGTCTTACCTCTGATATTCATCAAAGTGCTTAAAATATTATCAGACACATTTTTTTCGATATGCATGACATCTAAGTTGTGTCGAATTTGCAATTTTCTCCAGTACGGTAGTTGGAAAAAATGCTTTTTTTGTGCAAACCATATAAGCTATTTGAAGCATCCCATTTTCTTTTCTGTCCAGTAACCTTACCAAATGCTGCTTGCTCAAATCGATTAAAACAACTTAATATTTCATCACCAGTTAACGGAACAGGTGCATGCCCTCTTTCTTTTTTATTATCAAATGATTTAGCATATTTTCTCCATTTATGATTAATAGGCAGCCAACGACGATGACACATATAACAACCTTTACTCATCAAGGAAGTGCGCTTGGTTTCCTTCTGGCAGGATGGGCAAGCATAGTGACCTTTAGTACACCAACCCGACAAATCAGCATACGCAGGAAAGTCACTAATAGTCCATAAAACCATGGCATACATATTACAATGTTGCTTAGAATAAGCGTCATAAGTTTCAACTCCAAACTCCCAAAGGTCCTTCAGTTCTTCAATTAAAGGTTGAAGATAAACATCAATATTTCTTCCGGGACTCGTGGTTCCCGGAATGAGTAGAGATAAGATGAAAGAATGAGGCTTCATACATATCCAAGGAGGTAAGTTGTAAGGAATAAGAAGAACAGGCCAAATACTATGTTGAGAATTATCAAAAGGTTGGAAACCATCACAAGCTAATCCAAGTCTAACATTGTGTGCATCTCTGGAGAATGAAGTATACTCCTCATCAAATGATTTCCATGCAGCAGAATCAGCTGGATGCCTCATTACCTCATCATCCACCCTTTCTTCTTTATGCCATCGCATATCTTTTGCGGTCTTTCTTGACATATATAACCTTTGTAATCTGGATTTCAATGGAAAGTGTCGTAGCACCTTGCGTGGCACTTTTTTCGTTCCATTACAAGCACCTTTAGGAACATTCTTGTATCTAGGTAAGCTACAAGTAGGACACTTATCTAGATGTTCATTTTGTTTCCAATAAAGAATACAATCATTTTTACAAGCATCAATCTTCACACACTCAAGACCCAAATTGGAAATCAATTTCTTTGCCTCATAATATGAATCAGGAAGGTTAGTTCCCCATGCTTCCCCTTGCAATTTTAGTAAACTATCAAAAGAGCTATCACTCCAGTTATTTAAAACCTTCAAATGCAGCAGCTTTACTATATAAGACAACTTTGACATTGTTGTGCCATTAGAGGTCAATGGCTCTTCATATTCTTTCAAAAGATGGTAAAACATTGCTGCATCTCCAGTTGGTTCTTCATTAAAATCATAGTCATTTAGATGATCCCCCTGCATACCAGGTACCCCAAATGCATCTTCTAACATATGAACTCCACTATCATCACTTTCCATTCCATTTCCATCTCCATCTTCCATACCATTAATGTTACCACTCGGAGAATTACTTACCTTTTCACCATGAAGGTCCCATATAGTGTAATACTCATACATTCCTGACTTTAGTAAATCAAACCTCACATCACACCTTTTTTTATACACTAAATTACGACAATTATCACAAGGACACCTAATAGTGGCAGTATTATCATCCTCTATGACATTAGAAAAGGCAAAGTTCAAGAAATTATCTACACCCTTTATGTACTCGACAAGTGAACGATCATTTATTTTCGTCCATTCCTTATCAAAATCCATTCCCTAAATTCACATTAATATAAATAAGATAAAAAAATTCTAAAATTTCAATGAAATAGCATACATATAATTTATGTACAATCATACAAATATAGCATAAGTATCCATTTAAATGACAAACAATCCTAATTATACTAACATGCCTTAATTTAAAATATATAAAACAATCACAACTTTGACTTGAACCATATGAATATTAAAATTAAAAAATAAAAAAATTTATAAAAAAAAAACTTTGAAATAGGATAAGAGTATTACCAACAAGAAACCGTCCAGATAGCCTGCTATAGCTCAAAAAGTTTTCTCCTTTGGTTACTTCGATTTTCTATCAGCTAGCTACTAATTATGTGTCTCTGTACAGGAAAAGAATGTAATGTAAAATCAAACAAGAAAACTTGTTAAAGTGGCCTACTTTAATTAAAATAGTTTTCATCTTGGTTAAGTTGAATTGCTATCAAATCTAGTGAGTGAAACCTTTTTAGATACATGGACGAATTTGCTATTTTCTAACCGTATAAAATACTACTTTTCTATAGTTAATCCCAAAAATATTGAATATGTGAGTTTATTTTACAGATATACATACACATTTAAAATTTAATAATTAAAAGAAACCTCAATTACAACAATAACAAGACATACATGGGCTTAGTTCTACACCTCAACCTCTAAGTAAATACTGCACAGAAATTATTTGCAAAAAAAAAAGAATAAAGCCATTAAATTAAAACTAATACATTATCATTCAATGTAGTAAACAAGTAATCTATTAACTTTACAAACAATAATTAAATAGAAAGTTGCTTTTGACATTGCTTTCAAATATGACAGTCACATAATCAACCCACCTCTTCTAAACTGTAGTAGTACTAGATCGAACCTAGTCCTTAATTAAAAAATTGTTCAATTGACTAATACATGCAAGATATCTAATAAATTATTTCAAAACTATAATAAGAGTATCTAAAGATGTTAACTAAAATAGTAACATGTAATTTATACTCCAAATTATATCCCAAAAAATATGATAGAAATCACATTCAACTCCACAATAGTTTACCCCTAAACTCAGTTACTCAGATTTACAAGCAAATAGCTTAATTTTTTCCACAAAATTTTTTTAAAAAAAGAGCAAATTTATTAATTTACCGTAATTGTCAAATAATAGGTCACAGTTTAACATTATGAGATTGTAGGACTACAAAATAAAAAATTAAAAGAAAGAACTAACCTCTTGTTACTTGATATTAGAGTAGTACCAAGAAGAAATCATCAAAGCTAGCTAATGTCAAAATCCATACCCACAAGAATTTCCTTTTTTTTAGACAAACACTAACTCCCAAAATTATATCGCACCAAACGATTTAAGCAATTTGGGCTAAGAAGTAATTTATTTAGAATTTATAATTTTTTTTTGAGGTTAAATAATAGATAATTTTAGTAAGCTTAATTTGTAGTTGTTTTGGGTATTTTTGTAGTTGCTTTGAATTTCGGAGTGGAGAAAATTTGGGGTGACGGGATGAAATAAGGGTTAGGCGGGGAAGAAGAAGGATAGAAGGTTCTGGGTTTGGGAAAGTAAAATATACAGTACAAATTTCTTTTGTTTTATCAATTTTTTATTATTATTTTTGTACTTTTTAGGTTTGTAGTCATAAATATCAGCAACAACATTGTCGTTACAATTAAAAGCGGTATATTTAGCAACGATTAAAGTTGTTACCAATAATTATTAGAAAGATTTGCAACAAATATGGTCGTTGTAAAAAATTAAGATATATTTTGCAACGACACTTATCGTTGTGGAAAGCAGTCTCAAAATTTCACATGGCCCGCGCTTGAAGTTTTGATGGAGGGAAATGAAAATGAATATATTGCAACGACATTGTCGTTGTTAAAATTAATATTAGCAACAATAATTAAGTCGTTGCTAAAGAGTTGTAGCCAAAAATGGGTTTTCTTGTAGTGGTTACTGCAATGTTCACTAGGGATTCGAACAGAGGGTGAATGATTGAACAAAATCTGAAACCTTCTACCAAGTGTGTCCTTGCTTTTATGCTTGTTTGTTGTTATACCTTTATAGATATTGTGTCTTACTTTCATATTAGCTCTCCTCCACACCAACTTGATGCACTAAGAACTAGTGGTTCGGACCCGCTTGTGCCCGCCTTAAAATATCAATCATCACAAGCCCCAACCACCCGCACTCCGTCTCCCAAAAAGACGTGAGTTCTCTTGAGATTTAATTGCCCACTTGTGTTGCTTTGTGCCCACAAGTCATTCTTCCGCACAAGGCTAGCATTCTTGCCGCCAAAAGGCTAGATCGCGCCTCACATTTCAGGGCCCAAAATCCCACGCCGTGACACTAGGGATATGTACTTTGACTTTTTAATTGTTGTTTGACTTATTTTTACGTCGAGTTCAATTCTATACGCCTCATTGATTGCTAGAATTTAACTCGATGTTCAGCTTCGACGCTCTAAGCTCGAAATCTGACGTTGGAGTACGTATCCTCTTGTTTGATGAATTAAGGCCTTTGGCTTAATTCATCGCCTTAGTTTGATTGCACGCTTAGGTGTGACCCGTTGGGTTCAGACAAAGGAAAGTTGTGAGATTAATATAATTGATCTCATTGATCAGACATGGCCGCTCCGATCACTTGACTTCACTGAATAGTTATCTCCGTAATTAATCCTGAACCCTCTATTGGAATAATACACTTGTTCGAAGGACACCATTCTTTTCGAAGTGTATGAATAAAAATATACCTTAAGTATGAAAGAGTATGTGAAGAAAATGGGAAGTTAAAAAAAAAGTGGATAAATAGAGAGAGAGAGAGAGAGAGAGAGAGAGAGAGAGAGTGTAATGTTATGTTGCTTAGTTCACCTTATTAATTCTTGTTTATTTGATTTGAATTTACTTTTTTCTGATCAAATCTTTTTTCTTTATCTGACTAAAGTTTCATATTATATGTATACTAATCTTAAGTTTCACAATATTATACATACATACATATATATATATATATATATATATATATATATATATATATATATATATATATATATATATATATGTATATAAATGTATATATATATGTGTGTATAAATGTGTATATATATATTTATTAATGTGAATGTTCTTACACTCATTTGTAGTTTTCATTAATTTTTCATTGTGAAATTAAGAAAATTTAGCTGGAAAAAATAAACCTACACTACACAAAACGATACTAATGACAATTTGAATTTAATTTTTCTAATATAAAATTTGGTGTATGTAATAAGGTCATTATATAAGGAACTAAACACAGCCTAAGATGAATGTGTGTTTGTATATTGTGAGGTGTAATAAATAATATACTACCTCCGTTAATAGTTATGTGCAACTTTGGTGCACATAACGGATACCAATGCAAAAGATAGGGGGCAAAGATTAGAGAAAGATAAGGGAGTTCATTAAAAGGAGTGGAGAGAGAAACTAGGACCCCCCTGCAATTTTAGTGGGGAATTCTGATTTTTTTTGGAGGGCTTTGATCCCCCCCCCCCAAAAAAAAAAAAAAAAAAATCACCCAAAAATTCGAATTTAGAGATTTTAAAGTTCCCTCTCACTTTAAAAAAAAACACAACCAAGATTTAAACATTTAACCAACCATTCAACATTAAAGAGGCTTATAAATAGTAGCCTCCACAATTCAAACAACATTCAATGTTGTTCATTAATTACAACACCATAGTTTTTCAAAAGATGGAAATATTCAGCCAAAAGTTAGCACTAATTACACCAAATTATCCCAAATTAACCCAAAAATTACACCTAATCTAAAATTAGTGCTACACATCATTAGTCTTGATAATCATCCTTGCATACACTGTAGGGCAACTTCATCTCCTCAAAACCTTCATCAGCCACCCCTACATCATCTATAGCAGTCTGAAAAAAAAGCAGACTGAAGACATGGCAGAAATAGATGAAGATTTGTTTTTCGATGTTGATCATTTAATCACAGAGGAAGAAATGGCAGAATTGTACTTTGATCAAGACTATGAGCAATACAATTCAGATAATGTGAATATGCAATAAGAGGAAGAAGAAGAAGATGTAAGTGATGACAATGCAACAACACACAAACAGAACAAGAAGACACATGCATCATCTGAACAAGATGATGTCCAACCAAACAGAAAACAACTCACCATGCAACAAAATAGGGAGATAGTAGACGCAATACTACTTAAAATGCAAGAAGGGAAATTACCAAGAGGCTACAAGAAACAATTATCAGTGAAATTCAAAGTTCACAAGTCAACAATCACAAGAATTTTCACAGATATAAAAAAATAGATGGCACGAAGGAATTTGATTGATGTTAGGACCAAAAAGATAGGGAGGACATGTCCAACGCAAAGAGAATTTTCTTATGAATTCCTACAGTCAGTCCCTCTATATTTAAGGCAGATAGAAAGATCATATGCTGCAGCACTCAAGATTTCACATGTCACTCTTCATTATTTGAAGAAAAAGGTAAGGCTGAGAAAACACACAACAAGCAACAAGCCAGCACTGACATCATATCATAAGGTTGCATGACCATCACTAACATCATATCATAAGGTTGCATGAATGAAATGGGTTTTGTCTCTTATCAACCCAATTCAAAATCAAGATCAGAGGACCCCACTTTTGATGACATATAGGATGTCATTCACATTGATGAGAAATGGTACTACCTCAATTCTGATAAGAGCAGATTTTATCTCTTACCAAGTGAGGAAGATCCATACATGGCACAACAATCAAGAAGGTTTAAGTTAAAGGCTATGTTCATGGAAATTATTGGGAAGCCTCTATATGGTAGAATTGGGGAACTCCTATATGGTGGGAAGTATCGGATATTCCCATTCATAGTCCAAAAAAGGGCAAAGAAATCAAGTAAAAACAAAGCAGCATGCACAATGGTCACTAAGGCACTCCAAAATGTTAACAAAGATGTAATCAGAGAGATGTTATTAAATAAGGTTATTCCAGCAATTATAGCAAGTTGGCCTGAAAGTTTGCCCAAAAATGTGGTCATACAATGGGATAATGCAAGGCCACATCAAATTCCAAGAGATGAGCAGTTTATTGCAGCTACACAAGCAAATGGGTTCAACATTCAATTTGTGTTTCAACCAGCACAATCACCTGATTTGAATGTATTGGACTTAGGTTTATTCAGATCAATTCAGTCTTTGCAATATCAATCATTTCCTAAAAATCTAGATGAGCTATTTGAAAAAGTTATTGATTCTTATAACACATTCAAAACAGAAGTAAACAAAGTACATTTAGGTGACATTATAGTGATGCATGATCAAAATACTCAAGGCACAAGGTGGGAACAAGTAAAAAAATTCCCCACATGAACAAGAAAAAACTTGAGAATCTTGGCATTCTGCCAAATCAGATTCTAGTTGACAAGAGTATAGTCATGGAAGCTGTGGAATATCTCAACACAACGTTCAGGTCAGCACCCTAAGGAAATCATGAAGCAGAAGAAGAAATGGAGGTGGATGCAAACTAATTACATGAGGGTACAAAGCAAATCAGAACATCTACAAATACTGCCACACATAACCACTTAAGAGTCTTTATTTCAATTTTTTTCCCTTTTTTTTATTTTTTCTATTTAAGTCTCAATGAATAGGTGGGTAGGTGGGTAGGTGTATTTTGTATGTTAGGGAATCAGCCAAATATCAAATGTATTGATGTGTAAGTTCTAATTCACATGTAAGAGGTTTTTTGTAGCCATATTTTGAATGAAATGAAATTGTCAAAGGCACTTCTGCTTATTAACCCATTAGAGGAATACTATGTTTTTTTAATACAACTCTTCAAACAAGGTTACCTCAACAACAATCAAATGTAAAGTGATTGTTGGAGCAAAACCCCTGTTCAAAGAGTAATTCATTGGAGTCCCTTTATCATTTGGATTTCATGTGAACAATATAGTGACATAACCGGGGGACTCCCTACTGACCACTTAAGAATGCACATTAAGGGGACTCCAACACACAATGTTCTCTACAACAATGATCATTGAGAGCAGTATACACATCAAACCTCCAAAGGTGACACAATTAACCATTATTTAGCCTCATCATTTAACAATCAAATTCCCAAAAAGGGCATAAGTTATGAATACAACATCAACCAAACATAAATCAAACCATATGATCCATCAACCATCAACAGAATCCAACAACATAATCAAATAAAATCAGAAGCTCCAGCCAACCAAAGAATATATTCCAGCATGCTCCAAATCAGAAGCAGTAAATCAGAAGATAATAATAAACAACATAATCAAACAATATAATCCAGCATGCTCCAGGCAACCAAAATCATCACCATAATTTATTCGACCATTAATCAATAATAATCAACAAAATTAAAACCAGTATATCACAAGATAAGGGACTCACATAAGGCATCAACCAACAAGTTAATCCATACACAACCATTAAAGTAAGCCACCAACCAACAAGCCCAAATCAGAAGCAGTAAATCATAGCAAACAATCCACATACAGTCACAAACATCAAATTAAAGGGAGTCAATAATAAAAATTAAATAAGTTAGGGTTAAGAATCGTTACGCAAGCAGTCACTCGATCAGAGGGTTGAACCTTAGGGTTTAGCCGCATCACATAGTGCTTCAGAACAGGGTCAGAACAAGAAG